GGGGGGGGGGGGGGGGGGGGGGGGGGCAGCCGGCTAGGGCGAAATAAGCGGCGGCCCACTCAAGAGGACTTGCGGTGTGTGAGTGGGCGTGGCCGTGGGGCGCGACAACGGTCGCCATGTAGGCGGGGGTTGGAGGCTGTGACCGAGATGAGCGGGCACTTGAATAGTACCCGGTGGGTGGAGTGAGCTGTGAATGTCCATGGTTTCGCGCAAGAAGTTACGTTTTGCCTTTTCTAGGTTGAAGAGAAAGGGTGACTTAGCTGTAAATGAACCAGGGGTCCTGTTATTGTTTCTGGTTGATTTTTTCTGGTGTTTTTTTCTTCGCGCTCGCTCCGCTGGTGCGTGCTTGTGCTGCCGTACTGCTGCTGCTGCCGCTGCCGCTGCCGCTGCTGGTGCTTGTGCTGCTGCTACTGGCACGGATACGATATCTTGGGAAGAAAAAATAAAGGTGTTCTGGTCGTTCTTGAGTTTCATCCGGGGCGGGGGGTGTTGATGCCACCGCCGGTGTAGAATGCATGTGTGTGTGTGTAAGAGTGACGAGATTTGTGCAATGTTTGGTCGTTGTGTCGTGTGGGAACACCTGATAGAGCTAGAACTCGGTATGTGTGCGTTGATAACAGTGTCCACGGTACCAGCACGATGTTGTTGGTCGTGTAAAAAGTTAGTGTGTGTTTTTTCGTTCTTGTGTCTGTCGGATGGGCCTGTAGGTTGGGTTCTTGTGTCTGTCGGATGGGTCTGTAGGTCTGTATGACGTCACATCGCCTCTGCCGATTGCTTGGGCAACTCCACGGTTATATCGCGCGCATGGGACTTTCGTTGGTGCCAAGAGCGAATTAGATAGGGGGTGACGCAAATGAGAAATTGCCGGGGGGGGTTGCTCTTGTTGTTCATTTTGAAACGTAAGCGGTGAGTTTGAAGAAGCTCCTTCATTTGTAATCATAATCAGTCGTATCCAGACGTAGACGTCACCGCATCCGTTTGGTCCAATGTTGATTTGATATTATCATTTTCGACCTATCTATGCAAGAGAGGTCGCACACACTTTACAGAAGGGCTGGATTTGGACATGGAATCTCGCTCCATGGTTTTGGCTCCCTACCGGTCATGGGCGAGGGTTTGATGTAACACTGACGAAGGGAAGTGAATCTCAACATTGTAGCGGATGCCCTTATTCGAGCGCACTTTGTGTACGGCGTCACGATGGGAATCTATTGCGTTGGTTAAGTTGTTTGTGACGTCTTATGGGCGCTCCGTAAGAAAGAGCCGTATAAATGCGTTCCGAAAGTCAGGCTCAATATTTGGAAGTAATTTCTCTTGTGAGGATTTTCGCCTGCATACCCTCGTTGAGAGCCTGGCGTGTTCGCAGTCATGATACATACTCCTACGCAGAAGAAGCGTGTACCATTGTCTTTTCAATTTCGTTTTCGGCAGTTCTTCTTGAAATACATACGTCGATCGTCGTATCTCGACTCTGTCTGCACACGCCTGTCTATGCTCTGTGCTCTAAATTCCGATATTTCGGCGACGCCGATTCCGAGCGCATAATAACCTAGCAGTCACTATGTAGTTTGGTGAATGAAACCCGAAAGCACGTGAAAGCACGTGTGGTGTGATGAAGAGGTTGAGACTTGAGTTGACATGACAGCATATCGCTAGTTTATTCCTGAGCGCTGAACGGTCCGAGCCTCTCTTTCTCCCCCCCCCCCCCCCCTCTCCCGTGTCTCTGAATCTTGGATTCGACCCCGAAGAGCGAGGGGGGTGGGGATGTCCTGAATTTAATTACCACCTTGAAGAACTGTCCAGGCTAGCCCTCACAACAGGGCCCGTCCCTCCCTACACCTTCCTCCAACGAGTTAGCTCTCTTAATTTAGAGCACTCTTTACGTACGCCATGTACTTGCCGATGAGACCTTTTATCCGGCCCTCTCCTACGGAACCAACCAATCATGTTGACGATCTTTTCATGTAGACGACGATTGATTTTAGTCATCGTTCGTTGTTCGTTGTTCGAGTGATGTGTGTGATTGGTACTACTCGGGGTACACAACTATTGTCCCGGGGGTTGTCTATCCTAGATGCAAGATATGAATATTCGGAGGTCATGGTACACGTATCTGTATCCAACAGCACACTAGTGCTCGTGACGGGCACATTACGGTGCGACGTGAATTATGCACTAGCTACAGGCACCAGGTGCATTGTAGAGAGGGGGGGGGGTGATGGTTTTATGGGTGTGTGGTATGCTATCACACCTTCTCTACTCACGGAACCCCCGGAAACAAATCTCAACAAATCAGAATGTGATTAGGGCCAACCTCACAACACAACACACAGCAGACAGCGACGATGGTGGTTGCACGAACACCAGGAGCAGCAACCAGTCATCGGCGGGCATGGACTTTGACGACGACTACGACGTTGTACATGGTCATAGCAGCGTCCTGTTTTGCACGCCCTTGCGGAGCCTTCTTGGTCCCATCTCCGACCGACAGCACCAAGTTGCAGTTGACGCATGACACAGCGAGCCGTTCGCGGTGCCGTCGTCCATGGAGTGCCACGAGGGGGCAAACAACAGCGGCAGCGAGCCAAGGCCGTAGCAATGTTCGGGAAGAGACGGAGCTGCGGCTGATGACTTGGATGGAGGTGGAAACCCGCGTCAAACGAGATACTGCCGAGGTAGGGCAGTTGTATCTGTTTTTGCCCTAAAATCATCAACAGAGATATGCACAAAGGGCAGCAGGTCACAGCTTGTACAGCAGTAGTAATGTACACCAGATGATACTAACTGTTTGCTCGTCACCACCAGTGATCACGTTGTGTTGTTGCTACACATGCGTGCGCGTCGGTGCTTTCCGGTGCTCGACTTCGGCGACTCAGACGCAGCGGTACATCGGCAGCAGCATCTGCTTCGCCTGGGGTGTGGTCTTGGCAAGACAAATGCAGAGATCTGAAAAATGTAAACTACTGTACGGGCAGACCACCCGTGGTACTGCTGTACCGAGCTTGTTCTGGTCGCTGCCGTGCCCAGTTCAGATGTTAAGGAAAAGAAAACTCTCCTCTATGCAGCCTTCGCCGTGGGTGGCTCCGGCCGGTACGCCCAAAGACGTACCGAAAACAGTGGCCACAAGCGCGCCCTAGGCATACATATTACGCCAGGATGCGAGTTTCACAATGCACGACGCGCACGCTACTGTATTTCTCCGATGACTGTCTATTCATAGCCGTGGTGGTAAGATGGTTGCAAGACAGCACGGGAGTGATGCGAGAACGAAAAAAACATGTTCTACAACAGTTGTGTATATCGTGAAAAAACATCACGACATACATAACTGCGGAGTTCCCAAAAAAAAAACAGAGAGGCTGTTTTAATTGAAAGACGACGCCGTTGAGGGTGCCGCGATGGTGCTGGTCAACATTGGGGCCAGGCCCTTCCCAGCGATGCTCGCCGACCATGGGCTGGTTGTGGACTTAGACCTCTTCGATTTCTGACGCCTTGAGCGCGTTGTTGAGTTTCACCACGAGCAGGAGAAGGACGTAGTATTTCCAGAAGACAGAGATGAGGGCGGCTGTGCCAGCTTCCGGACCAGCATACGCGCCCACATAGCTGGTAACGATGGCAAGAACTGGAGCTCTAGAGAGGTGGAAAAAGTCGTCGGAGTTGAGCTTTCCCTTCGAGATCCAGTAAGCGATGAGCGCCGATGATCCCATGGTCGCGCCAATGGCTGTACCAGAGAAGTATTGGTCGAGTACTACATCTCCCGTTGCCCGGTCTTGGCGATCACGTAGATGCTCATGGCGTTTGCGAAGGCTGCCGTGGTGATCATGAACGCGGAAACTCCGTACTCGTCAACCGCGGGTGCTGTGAGCTTGTGAAATGTCTTCTCCATCTTGGCCGTATGCCCTGCCTGGTCCTCGTGCAAGTTGAGCAAGTGATTATTGATCCCGGCCTGCATCTTTGCTTGGTCTGTCATCGTGGCTCGAGCGGTAATGAACTCATCAGAGCAGCCGGCAGGAGGCTGTCCTGCACGGTATTGAAGATCTCATCCGGCGAGAATTTCTGCGTGCTTTCGATGAGTTCACGCGCCAGTTGAAGATGGGATTTTTGTGGGCTGCCTCCTCCTACATCCTTCGCCTTGGAAGCCATGTTGCTGCTGCTGTTGCTGTTGTTGCTGTTGCTGCTGCTTTGGACTGAGGAAGGCTTTTGAGAGTTGTGGGCGACCTGGGGCTGCGCTGTCGCGTGGGAAAAATGCGGCGGATTTGTTTGAGATGTTGGATATAGGGGGGATGTTTTTCCATGATTATCTCACGCGGTATGTGCAACGATTGGCAGTGGTTTGTTATTGTTGGTGTTGGTGTTGGTGTTGGTGTTGGTGGTGTTGGTGGTGGTGTGGTCGTATTCGCAAAAATACCGCATTTCGGACCTCCACCTCCGGTTCCAGACTCCTCTAACGCTGGTGCTCCTGGTTCCTTCTCTCTTTCCTATTTCTACACCGTTTCGTGTTCTGCGGTGTTTCCCACGAACCCTACCCGCGGATGGGGAGGCAACGCAGACTGGCAAGGCCGCCGTGATCGTTCCCGTCGGCGCCACGGAGCAGCACGGGCCGAACGGGCTCATCGGGACCGATCACATGACCGCCGAGGTGATGCGCAAAGACTTCGGGGGCATCGTACGTTACTACAAGTGTCGAACCGACCTTCTTTTTTCGCTGAACTCTGAGCCATGGTATCTCACATCGTTTTGTTTTGACGAGGTTCCGATCGTCTGGACGGGGAAGGGTTTTCTCCTGGGCGACAACTGCTGTCGCTTCATCGACGAGACGAGTTATCAACACCACATGCTTGAGACTCTTCCCCAGTAGTGTATACACCAGCACAAGTTAGTTTGTGTCCAGCCCGGCACCGACGTGTGTTCCCCCCGACCACCCCCCTCTCCCCTGCGTGTACGCCCTCATCTCAAACCAATTTTCATATCATCTTTGTCGCCGCTGGCGTTGAAAACAACACTGCTAAATAGGCCGTCGCCCGCGGTGTCTGCGAGATGACCGGCGCGATCCTCGCCCCTACCATCAACTACGGCATGTCTCACCACCACGAGTCCTTCCCGGGGACGGTGACCCTGAGGCCGGCGACGTTCGTGGCGGTGGTGCGGGACGTGGCGGCTTCCCTCTCGGGGGCCGGCTTCACGCACGTGCTGTTCGTCAACGGTACGTCGAGGAGTCAGCCGTACCGCGTTGTCTTTGGACGGTGTCCAGGTGAATGGGCATCTCCTCTTCGCACGGCCAAGCCAGTGTTCCACGATGCGCGTGTGTGTTGTATGCGCGGGGTTGAGCAGGCTTGGTACATAGCGTTGGTCTCGGGCGTTGGGGCGGTCGGTTGGCTCAGGCACATGTGACGCGTCACGCAGTGGTGCATCGAATTATAATCACACTTTGTTTCCTTCCCAGCTTCGGCCTCCTCTTCTTTCGCCTGATCCAACCAATAACACCATCAAAAAGTAACCACCTTCTCCTTCTCCTAACGAATCCGAAAACAACAGGGCACGGCGGCAACGTCGGCCCCGCCTTTAAAGCGTTCGCCGACTTCGCAGCGGAAAAACAGCAAGCCCGAGAAATGGAGGAAGAAGAAGCAGAAAGCAGTGGCGGCGGCGGCGGCGGCGGCGGCGGTGACAGCACGGCTCGGGTAAAGCTGATTAGCTGGTACGCGGGACGTGAGTCCTCGACCCTTGCCAAGGAGCTGTACGGGGGCGAGGTCGGGCAGCACGCCACGCCGGACGAGGTGTGAACAAAGGAAATTTCAAGGAAATTTCAGCTGCTACACTGGGCACACGGCGCGCCGAAGATTCCGAACCCTCACCTCGCCTGGCGTTGTACAAAGTCCCCCTCTACGGTAAAGCAAGTCGTTGTGATTGGGCTAGCATCGCCGTCTTCTGTGCTCCCGCTGTCTTTGTTCTCGACAGGTCCTTACATTTTTTCTCTCGTCGCACTCGCGCTTCTCTCCCTCTTCTCTGTCGTTTCCCTGGCTGTCTTTTATCTCTCCAACTTAACGGTACTCGGAGGAGACCGGGACGTTTTTGGTGTGAAGGCAACAGCACGGACACATGATGATATCTTCCTCTATGATATCTTCCTCTTATTGTGTGCATCTGTTCCCCGCTGCTATCTGCCTCCTGTTCCTGTTTCTTCACATTCGCTCGTCGTAGGTTGCGGTGACCCAGCACCTATTCCCGGAGTCTGTGAAGTCTGGGGTCGAGCTAGACCCAGCCGCAATCCAGGTGAGCAACAAAATCGTCAGAAGAGTGCCTGGTCTCACCCAGTTTTTGTAAGTTTGTTGGTTTCTACGTCACGCAAGAGCGGTCGTACGTTGATGACTGTTCAACAGAACAACAGCAGCAACAGCAGCAGCAGCAGTAACAGGGCTTGGTACCAGGGACAAACGCTGGCACTGGCATCGTTATCTTCTGTTTGTAATGATATGCCGTCAGGAACATCTTCCGTCGCATGGACGAGAAAATAGCCCGTGGGAGGCGAAAAAATTCCATGGGTCGAAGGACGGGGTCGAGGCCGCTTGAAGACTGCTCTCCATACAGAGTGAAAACCGCCACAAGACGAAAATGAACCAGATTTCCTCAAAAGCTTCGAAACAAACAGACAACAAGCGCACAAAACACACGCGTCGTCAACCAAAATCCTGTGTCATCACCACGACCCCAGGTGGCGAAAGACCTCGGGGGCATGACGAAGCGGATCAAGGATGCGGAGACGGGGCTCTCCGTCATGGACGTCCAGGACTTCCGCCGCCGCTTCCCCGACGGCCGCATGTTCAGCAACCCGGCCCTGGCCACCCCGGAGCACGGCCGACGCCTCCTCGAGGCCGCCGTCAGAGATGCCACGGACGCCCTGGGCAAGTTCTTGTCCGGGCAGGATGTAGTGGAGGAGGATGAGGCGAAGGCCAAGCGGGCGGCCGCTATGGCAGCAGCAGCAGCAGCAGCGGAGGGGGCGGCGGCGGCGGAGGGGAAGAAGAAGGCGGGCAAGACATCGTTCACGCCACGTGCTCGGTGGGGCGACGACGATGACAGCAGCGGCGGTAGTGGTGGTGGTGGTGGTGGTGGTGGTGGACGAAGCGGTAGCGGTCGAGGCCGGGGACGAAGACGTGGCGGCGAGGGCAGCAGCAGCGGCGGCGTACGGCAAGCGGCAGCGCGACGAGCGGGGGGGGAGACAACAAGGGCCGCCGCCGCCGTTGTGACAGGACCTGCCGTGCGATAGCGGGGCCGCACCACCGCGGCTACTGCGGTGGAGTGATTTTGCGAGGGGGGATTGAAGGCTCAGAAACAGTCGGAGGTGATCAGCCGTCGCATTTTAGCGGCGAGATGGAAGCCTACCGGCAAGGCCGGGTTGCGCCCGCTGTATAAAGTTCTCTCCCGTTCAGCAAAACAGAAAGACCAATCTCCCCCGAACAAGACGCAGAATCTCGTTTACATTGTGCGCAGACAAATGGCGGTAGCCTTGAACTCGGGAGCGGGGCGGCAAGCTGCACTGATGCTGTTACGCGCGAAATTTATGTGTCCAACTAGCTGCAGTAGCCTGGATGCTGAGGCTCTGATTGGAGTGAGGGAGTTGGCGACAAGAATGTTTGGTCCACCCATCGCAAAACAGTTCTTGACGTCGCCCCATGGACATGAGCGAACATTTTGGCGGTCCATCGTCGGCCTGGAGAATTGAGTAGGATGCAGAGAGCGCAGTGCCATGGAGAGCGGCGCTTGGCAATGCAATGTGTTCAGCGCAGTGTTACGGGGAGCGCTTGGTAATGCAATGTGTTTTCTGGCTACTATCTTAGGGAAAATAGGAAACCGCGGGACCTACGGAAATACACCTTGAGACATGTTCTCCATTGTTTCTCGGGACCCCGGTGTAGTACTACTGCTACCTGCAGCCAAAACCAAGTGTTGGACGCGGCTACCTGGCGTCCAAGACGCCGCCCGAGCTGAACCTGCCATTGCACCAAGCACAATACTGCAGGAAGCCACGGCAGCTACACGGTGCACACACCGTGCAAGCTCGAGAACTCGGGGCCGTGGATTCGTAGCACTCGCGATAGCTCATTGTCGAAAGGGTTACCACACCATCTCGTCTTGTGCCCCGCCGCGAACAAGGCTATCATACAACGAAAGACAGGTTTGGCGGCTTCTTGGAGTCTACGCGAGCGAGTGAACATGGTTTCTATGCTCACTCTCCGTTCGCACGGGTCCAAGCACCATATCAACAGGTAAAGAGAGGACGGGGGAGGCGGGCGCGGGCACCGACCTACTCCACATGTTTTGGATGATCGTGCTCTTCCTAATTCCATGCTCCGTGCAACAGGGGCTCTGTATGTCCACAACAAAAAGAGATATCGCGTTCATTTCACTTCACACCGACAGCATAGCGCGCTAGGTAGGAATGTACACAGAGAGTGGATCCGACCGGACAAAAGGCACTACAGCTACTCGGAAAGCCCTCGGACACGTAAACAACGGTACCCACACGCATGCTCAAACACGAGCAGGCGTATTTATTCGATGGTCGTGGGCTAGACCCGCAAGAGACCCATACTACACCAAGCATTTGTCCCGTCTTGCTTTGGGCTAACCCACCCACCCACCCACAAAATAGTCAACCTTAATGTTCCTCTCGCCGGACTGTTGGAGAGAGATAAGACCACAAATTCACCCAACCATACGACCATCGCCAAAAAAGTGTTAAGCGTAAGCCGGGCGTCCCCCCCGCCGTGGCCACCAGCCTGCGCTATTGCCTGATGGCAGCAGCAGGAGCCGCCGCCGAAGCGGTGCCTCGGCGCTCCAACACACCACCGCGTTCCTCCTCCAGCCGGCGAAGCGCCAACCCCCCTTCCGACTCCAAGCCGGCGGCGATCCCCCCCTCGCCACCGGCGACGACGCCGACGGCGGCGGCCGCGGCAGCGGACCAGCCGCACATGACCCCGGACCCGACGCACTCGCCGCCTAGGTAGAAGGCCGCGAACTGCCCGGGCGCCAGGGCGGAATCCTTGCTGTCGAGGTTCACGTATCCCCTCGTCGGCGAGCCAACGCGGTCTTCCACCGTCGCTTCCGCGCCGCCGGCTCTGCCGCCGCTGTCGCCGGGGGCAACCTCCGGCACAAGGCGCAGCAAGCAGTCTCTCATCTGCGGGCCGTGACGAGTCTTCACCCGCAAGCGCATGGACCTGTCCCGCGCGAGCTCGGCGGGGGGTCTCCCGGAGATCCACTGAAGTGCCTCCACCTGCGGCAAACAAACGGTCACGAGACACCCGTTCCATGTCACCATCGAGACGGCCCACACGGACTTTGCCTTTCGAACAACGGTATGCCGCGTGTATGTGGAGAACTACGTAGGACGACTTGCATTGCAACCCCATGGCAGTGTGAGCATGCACCTGTCACGAGGCATCCCCGCAAAAAGCTTAAATCCGCGCGATATCCGCAACAAACTCTCAGGCACACGACAACCGCTGTTCGCAACACGCAAGACCGCGGTGGTGCAACGGCACGGCAGTGTGAAAAGAGGGAATCGTCCTCGACAGAAGTTCGGGAGATTTTACCCTTGCGAAGGACATCTCGACATTTCTCCCCCCCCCTTGGTAGGCAAGGAGGGTTCTAGGGGTAACGGGAACCCGACTTGAAGCCAATGAGAAAAGAGGGTATCGTCCTCGATAGACGTTGGGGAGTTTCTACCCTACATGCGTTGGGGAGATTGTATAACCCTTTATGAAGGGGATCTCAAAAAAAAAAAAAAAACACACACACACACAGAAATTACGCACCCTGAAGACCTCCCTCGGGCTCGCGATAGCCTCGCGGTCGTTCGTCACCACGAGCACGTTGCGCTCCATGTCCTTGTCGGCGACGTACCACGGGCCGAGGTTCACCACGCCGGGCACGAGGCCCGGGCCGACGCCCTTGCGCTGGCCGATGGTGTGGAACCAGAGCCCCTTGTGCTCGCCGATGTGCCGCCCGGTCTGGTCGACGATCGCGCCGGGAGAGGTGCCCAGGTAGTGCTGCAGGAACTCGTCGAACTTGAGCTTGCCGAGGAAGCAAATGCCCTGAGATTTACGTCGCGTCGACAAGCGATCGGTTGGTGGAGGCAAGACGCCCCCCGCCACAGGACAAAAGCACAAAAAAGAGAAATCGTGACGTGACAGAGGGTGTCAAAAACAAATAAGTCAATAGGCAAAAGACGAACAAGAAGACAAGACTAGGTGAACATGTGACGGGACGTTTGATGGTTTAGTTGGGAGAAGGGAGACGGGTGGGGAGTCTGTCGTTGCCAGCCGCCGCCGGTGGGATGGTTGTGGCTTCCTGCCTGCTCCCGCAGAGAGCGTGGGTGACAAGATATCAGTGCCTATCAACCCGACTCGCGTGGTGCGAACAAGGCGCTGAGGGACTCACTGCATCGGTTTGAGTCAGGCTCTCTGTACCGTCAAACCGTTTGGTACACGGAAAAACATAGCGACAAACTAATCGCTTCACGTATCTACGAGGCAAAGACACGAAGAACATCAGCATGAAAGGGATGAAACGGAAAAAAAAAGAGGTAGTTTCAATTACGGCAATATCGCCAACAGCGGCAATATCGACAATAGCGTACAAGCGTGGGTGGCGACGCAAGAGGGAGTGGGAAGGGTGCTCTACGCTCAACGTTCCTAAAGAGCAAAGAACTATATAAAAGGAGGAACTCCCTCGCCCCCGCCTCGCCCCCGTGCCTCACCAAGCCATTCTTATTGTTGTTTTGACATTAAAACCAGTTCCGGTCCCTGCTCAATCCCTTCTACTACCCGTGCCGGACCACTATGCAGACGCCTTCCGTGGCCATGAAAAATAAGCCGCACACAGCTACGCAAAAATTACCCTCCTCCGCAAGTTTAGCATTGTACCTGCGAGTCTTTCCGGTGCTTGGTGGGAAGGTCGTAGCTCTCGGCCAGCTCCCGGATCTGGTCCTTGGTGTACACCCCGAGCGGGAACAGCGCCTTCCGCAGCTGGTCCTGGGTCAGCGCGCACAGGAAGTACGTCTGGTCCTTGACGGCGTCGGGGCTTAGGAGCAGTCGGACCCGCCCCCGGTCACTGCCGGCGGCTACCCTTACCGGAGGCTCTTCCGTTCCCGCTGCAGCTGCAGCTGCCGCTGCACTGCGATCGCTAGGGGTAGCATTGGCGTCGTCGCTGCCGCCCGAGTGCTCGAGCCTGGCGTAGTGCCCGGTGGCGACGTGCCGGAAGTGTTTCCCGACGTGGTCGTAGAACATGCCGAACTTGATCCTGCTGTTGCACATGACGTCCGGGTTGGGCGTGCGCCCCTCGCGGGCCTCCCTCACCGTGTACGACACTACCTGGTCCCAGTACTCCCTCTGCAGCGGGACGACTTCCAGGGGGACGCCCGCCTGCTCGCACACCGCCGTGGCGTAAGCCAGGTCTTCCTCCTGCTCGTGGCAGATAGATAGTGGTAAAGGAAGCCCGGGGAGGTGCTGCTGTAGCTTGCGTTGTACGTTGTCGTTCAAAAATTAAGGGTGTCTCGGAGACGATTCAAGAGCAAGAGAGCAAGTCTGGGTGCTTTGCGGCAGTCGGGGGAAAACCAATCGACCAATCGACCAGAATCAGCTACCGCTGCAGGCACGGAGTTACTACCTCAGGGCTACCCCCCCCCCCCCCCCCGCTTGGGCCTGTAGGCTAATGGATAAGCCGCCACGCTTCTAACGTGGATATTGCGAGTTCGAGTCTCGCCAGGGCTGCTTATCCTGCTCCGGAATTTTTTAATAACATCCCCCCCGGTGTTTGTCATCCGGGGTAGGGTTTTCGTCGCTTGGCAAACGACGTTGTAAAAAAAGCCGCCCCCTCGGTGTTTGCCATCGGGATTGGGATCTCGTCGCTTGGCCACGACGTTGTAAAAAAAGCCAATTCACTTCGTGAACTCGGCAACCAGGTCACCGTTTTTTTTTTTACTTCTGTTTTTTTTTTTTTGGCGGTAACCATAATGGTGGTCGAGTAGATCATGTTGTGCGGGGTCGAAGAACCCTCACTCCGCGCAACGGGGGATGATCGCACCACGTTGTGTTAAAATGGTCAAGCTCCCTCGAGGCAGTTACACAGTGCTTACAACCGTCTCTGGAAGTGAAAGCACCAGAAAATAAATTAAGTCATACGTAGCTGTCATCCGTACGCAAGGAAGTAAGCACAAGATGCCGAACACCCTTAGCAGGATGCAGCTCACCCTTCATGCGACTCGCCAAATACCTCACGGCGCTTCGCGCTTGGTGATGTGAGAGCCTGGTCCGGTGAGAACCCGGCGTGCTCCGTCCCGGCTTTGTAGGGATGCGAGGTCAATGGTCTAATGACTACGGCATGCACGACTATGAGTACACCCCCCCCCACCCCGCTCTTTCTACGTGCTCCCGCGCGACGGAGGGACACCATGCTTGGGGCTTGGAAACAACCCGATCACTGACACTCACGGGAGCCAGGGCAGAGGCAGACACACGAAATTCGAAACAACAAGTTGAGAGTGTCACTCGCCAAGAGACCCGAGGCACCACAGAGAGCCAGCGGGCACGCAAACGAAAGCAAAGAGCAAAACAGTTCAACTCACCCACGGGCACTCATTGAGGTGAGCAAGCTCGTCCTCCAGCCAGATCTTGAGGTAAAACGCCCGGATCTTGTACCCTTGGTCTAGGAGAAGCCTCATCGCCACCGACGAGTCCACGCCCCCCGAAAGCAGCATCGCCACTTCGTTCTCCGCGCCCGGCAGGGGGTACCAGCCGCTCGCGTCGTCCCCCCAGCTACGGCTGGGGTCCAAACCAGCGGTGGTTGTGGTGGTTGTGGTGTCGGCAGTAGTGCCGCTGCTCGACAGACCTGCTGCAGACGCTGTTGCTGCTACCACTGGTGCTGCCCCCCTTGTCGCGGCTGCTGCTGCTTCTCCCCTCACTCGCGGCGGTGATGTCGACAAGGCTGCTGCTGCTGCTCCGCCTGCCGGAGGCACCGCCAGCTCTCTTGGCGCCGGCGCCGCCGCTGCTGCTGCTGCCGCTTCAAACCTCCCTGCGTTGGTGGCCGCTAGTGGGGTAGCTCCCTGCACGGCCGTCAGGTCTACCAGGGTCGGGCGCAGGGTGTCCGCCGCCCCGGCGGCGGCAGAAGCGGCGGCAGCGGCGCCGCGGAAGTACCCCCGGACTTGGTCCTGGATCACCCCCAAGACGTTCCCCAGCCCGTTGATCCGGCTGGAAGTGAGCCCGGCCCTCATCCCCACCGCGGCCGCGAGGTCCTTACCCCGCAGGCTCAGGACCGTGCGGGCGCTCTGTCCCTGAAGGCCGAGGGCCAGCAGGGCCAGCAGGCCGCGGCTGAGCCTGGCGTCGGCGGTGCCTCGAATGGAGACGACCCCTCCGCCGCCGCCCGCTCCGAGAGAATCGTCCGCCCCCGCCGTCGCCGCTCCTCCCGGCGGGGACGGCGGCGGCGGGCTCTCCTCCACGCAGACGGCCACGTACACCTCTGAGACGCAGCCGGGCACCTTTTGCGCGTGCCAGCCGTCCGCCGAGGCTTCGTTCACCGTCGTGCTGTCGCCGGGCACCACGACGGGCAGCACCGCGGCGTCGGTGTTCGCGAAGGCATCTCCGAGTTCTACGAGAAGCTTGCTCTTCGTCTTGAGGTCGGTGTCTTGCCCGAGCATGTCCACGGCTGCTTGGAGTCGCGGCGGGAGGCCCGGCGGAGGAGGGGGAGGAACGAGGCGTCCCTCGGTAGCACTAGCGGCAGAGACTGCGCCGTCGCTGTCCATCCGGGTTGTTCGCGGGCGCTTGCGGCTGCGTGTTGGTGGCAACGCTGCCCTTGTTGCAGCATGATTTTGAAAACGCTTTGGCAGAGGAGACGGGTGCGGTGCGAAGCATTCAGCTGTGCCTGCAAGCAATGCTGCGGAAACTAGCAGGGCGTCGATCTTCATCTTGCTGTCTCGCTCTTTGTTTCCCGTTCTTTGCTCTGTCTCAGCATCGAGCAAGCGGGGCAGGAAAGTCAGCAACGTGCCCGACGGCGAGCGAGACCGCGCGAGCACATGTGTGGGCGGGGGCGCCGGCACTTCAGTAATCTCCGAAAGGGGTTTTGAGGAGAGAACGGTTCGCTTGTTGTTGAAACCGCTTCGTAGACTCAACTTCGACCTACGACGCGGCTCGAGGTTTCTTGGCGCTCGCTCGGTGGTGGCTGGTGGCTAAGCCACGGCTTGTGACGTGCTAAGCATTGGTACTGCACACCTTGAAACGCTCATCGTACCAGACCGACATGTGAGTTTGAATGGAAACGCTCACATCTGCAACAACAGCAGTGTACCGCCGCGTAAAAAAAACTCATTGCGCAGCCCGCCAGTGTGCGTTCGAAATCGGAACATGGGGTTGTTTGCCGAGACGTTAGTTTGCTGTGTGTCTGGGCTACGTCGAAGCTTGCCCCAGCTGAAAAGTATGTGAGGAGAGTGTAGATACAAAGCGGTGGATATTCTGGGAGGATGGCACATGAACCTCACATCGTTTGCGTCTGTCCTGACCGTTCCGACATCTATCGCGTGCTCCCTGTTCCCCTTCTATCCGAAGGATCGGTAGAAACACAGGCAGATAATGTGATGACATTATGAATCCACCCCGAAATGATCCTGGATTTCTACCTACATGTATACTGTTACAGTACAGCAGTAGTAGAGATGAGTTTGTTTCGTCAAGTACTTAATAAGTACATCAGACGGCTTTTTTCCAACTTTTTTCTATAATCGTCACATCCACATGTATGTGCAAACATATGGTACGATCCACATTTATTTACGGTTGTATCTTGGGGACAGTCTCTAGACCTTCTGGCGTACAATGACAATTGTAATCTACAGCAGTATACAGGCCATCCTATGGCATATATGTAGATGAACTTTACAATACATCACTTTCGTTCGCTGTGCATGCAGCCCTCATTAATTGATCGACCGTGCCCTCTTGCTGGTCAATCCCTCGCAGGGTTCAGCAGGTGGAAACAACAGCAGTGTTGCCTGAGGATTTGGCAGCAGTCCTACAGCTGCAGACACCCATTGGCCAATGGAAGCTTTGCAAACGTCTTTACCGTGCTCTCGGACACACGCCCGCTAGCATACCGTCTCCTCCCGAAGGGGTCAAGGACGGGCGCTGGGCGACAGCGTTGGCAGTGACCTTCTTGCGGCGCCGGCCAGACTTGATCGACCTCACGTATGAGGCTTATAGGTGAGCAAAAAAATGGTAGTGTAGTTCTTCCATCAAACCGGGCTTACAGGTGTGCGAACGGCGCTGAACCGTCAACAGTAGTAAAGAAACAATCGTACACCTCTGCAGTAGGTGGTGGGATCCTGATGTATGTTACCCGCAATGCACGGGTCCTCAGCCAAACCTTTGCACGTCTTTCCTTACTGCGACGCACGAATTGTAACGTTGGTCTCGCCGTCCCACCTCTCAGACTATTCCCCGCCCAACTCTTGTCCGCTCGACCAACGTAACAGCCGAGCGATCGCTTGGGTCGACGAGCCGCTCCTCGCGCAGGCACACAGCCGTCTGCCGCCAGCCGACCTGTACTACCCCGTGGACGAAGAGGCGTCACGGCAAGGCCGATGGCAGCAGCAGGCCGAGGAGGCTCTAGAGGAGTGCGGATACGCCTATTTCTTGCCTTCGCCCTCTACTGCTGCTGCAGACCACGGCTGCGGCGGCGGCGAAGAAGGCGATGATGGTGCTGCTGCACCCCGCCGCCACGTCCCGACGACCTCGAACTTGTCACCGGCGCGTGCGATATCCGATAGCAGCTGCAGCAGCAGCAGCAGCCGCGTCCCCGGAGAGATGGAACGCAAGGGGATGAAGGTGTACCCCTCTGCTGCCGCTACCGCTCCCTGTGTAAGGAGACGAGGTCGACGGCGGGGGGTGTCGGCGACGTTACGCCTCAAGGCCATGGCGGCCGCCAGGCATCAAGAAACGCTTGAGCAGCAGTCGCGAGGCCTACACCTAGAGATGAAGCGCGCCATGAAGGTGGCCACCACTACCTTCAGAGAAGGCGACAGGGTGGAGAGCCGCTGGCGCCGTCCCACCCGGCTCGACAAAGCGAAGATCGATCCAGGCGCCTGGCACCCCGGCCGTGTGGTCCAGAGCCACAAGGACGGCGGCAGGGTAGACGTGGTGTTCGAGGACGGAGACGGCGAGCGCCTGAGCGGTATATCCACCAAGCATGTCCGACTAGCTCCGCCCCCTTCTTCCTCAGAACAGCATCCTCTCGTGAGCTCAGGTAGGGACGACGATGACGTCATGGCTGCCGGGGTATCGGGAAGAAGAAATAGCTGCGACCGACGGCCGTCGTGCGTCCCGACGTCCGCGCCGACCGACGAGCTGGTGTGCTCGGCGAGCCGTGGCGAGCTCGCGCACATCGCGTGTGCGACCAAGTTCTTGCGTTGCACCTGGGAAGACCCAGTGCCTATCAGCCAGGAGATGGCGAGGCTCAGGATGCTGGAGGAGCGCAAGATGCGCGGTCGGCCGGAATGGCGCGGATCGTTTCCCCTGGTCGACTTCAGCGCGACGAAAAGGCTGCCATTCGGGGCCGGCGGGATGGCCAGGACGGGCGGGCGGAGAGCAAGAAATGCCGCCGCATCGGCGGCGACGGCGGCGGTAGCGACTCGGGATCGTCAGCTCCAGGCGCAGGGTACCGTTCACGACGATAGCAGGACGAGGTTGCGAACGGTACAGTGGTCACCCTCGTCCTCACTCAAGATGCCGACGACGGTCCCACAAGTACATCGAGAGGAGAACATCGACCGTGACCAGGGGCAAGGAGACAGGTGCACTTCCACTGACGACAACACGGTCAAGGAGACCAACGCGAGGAGCGCCGGCAAGAGGCGTTCTTCATCGTCCTCGCCATCTCCCGCGGCGGCGGCGGCGGGGGCGGAGGCGGCAGGAGCGACGGCTCTCTTAGAGGCACAGGCGAAGCTCGTCTCCGCCGCCTTGGCGTACGACAGGTACGTGGCCGGCGCCCGCGACTGCCTCGACAGGGGCTGCGCCGCGTTCCGCCTGGCCCGCACGTACTCCGAGCAGCAGAAAGCTTTCGAGGAGTCGACGGCTATACTAGGCCCCGCACAGCCCGCGCGAGCCGGCTACACGGACTGGCGAGGCAGTCCCGTGGTGGGGCTGCAGAGCGCCACGCTCGATGTCGTGGAGGCCATGGACGCTTGGGCGGCGGAGTGGGCGGCGGACAAGGGTGGCAAGCCGGATACCGGGGGGGGAGGTAACGCGTTTGCGGAGGAAGGAGTCGTACTAAAAGACGGCGCTGTGGCAGAAGTCGCTGTCGCAGCGCCGCCGTTCCTGTGGGAAGGATCGCCGCTGGTGTCAACGATCATCGGCCAAAGCGCCAAGCTTGTTGCCGGCGCGCCGGAGCTCAAGGGGTGGTACGGTCCCGGGTTCCCGATCGAGAGGAACCCTTTCTTTCTCGCTTATCCGGTGGACGATCGACCCGTTACCCCGCGCAGCGCTCTCGTCCGGGCTTGGGTGAACGGGGAGGTAAACGTTCGGATGGTGGTGGATACGAGCGTGTGCAACAAGGAATTCGTCGCTGAGTAGGTCTGGTTCCCTATCGCATACTATCTCGACCACAGCGGCGATAGAATTAATCACGTGGACGAGGGTATGTACGCACCTACACCCAGCTCAAAGAAAACATGCGTGACGTACGATGCCCGATCCCCAACAGACTGAGTCCATTGTTTCCCTGCGTGCATACGAAGCACTTCATAGCCCAATCGGCTGCCGATAATACACCCAAACACGAAGCAGAGGTGTACCTCTCTCGCGCGATGTGCATCAGACAAAACAAGCTAGTCGCTGCGTATCTATGAGTCTCGTCCCTGCGTATCTATGAGTCCCATGCCCCACTTCTGGCTCTTGCTATCCCATTGCTTGAACCTGGAACCGTAGATGGCTACGACGGTCAGCCCAATGCTTTTGGAAGAAAGAGAGAAGGAGGAAGCGGCCATGAAAGCTGTTGTCGACAAGCAGGCCTCCGCCCCGTCCTGGTGGCCCACCATTCTGGGGGCGTTGGGGGGCGACGCGCACTACCAGCGGATACGCCGGGCGGAGAAAGTCATCGCTCGCGAGGAGGCCCAAGTAATCAGAGACAGGGAACCACCAGCCACATGAAAGCCAGGGTCCCCCGGATAACGTATTGGAATGAGGAGCACTCAAACCTGTCGGTCAGCGTTCGACAAAATCCAAATATTGTACTGAATCTGTACAGCTACAGAATGCAAAACCGAACGGAATGGTGGCCTCCGAAGCTCGGGTTTGACTTTTGGGGCTCAATTTTCCTATGAAGAACAACCGTGGTGGTGTTGAGCATTTTTCTCTCGTTTGGTGCTGTGGCGGCAGGCAGTGGTCTGCGACCCGTAGCGAAACCGCGTGGTAAGGTTCTCTGTTGTGTGGTGTGCACAGGGGTGTCGCGAAGTGGTAAAGTTCTCCCGTTTATCTTCGTCCTGGCCAGGAGAAGATCGTGATGTAAATTCTAGAGTTACGCTGCTTAGCTGGAGCTTGTGGTGAACCCATAGTTTTGCGCGCCTCGGGTTTGACGGGGATCAAGCGTGTCCCGCACCATGCGCGAACACATCGACGATTGTTTCCCGGAGGCAGAACTGCGGTTGTTGGCCCTGGTCTCAAAACATCGGGTGTGGGAAAAACACCAAAGTTCGTCTGTCGGGATGGGAAAGAGGGCTACGTTTTGCTCTTCGTTGACGACTAATTCGATCTCACGGTCTCAAGGCCTGAAACGAATTTCTCAATTGGTGACAGGTTCCTGGCGGGCAAAGATTGCATGACACTTGTACCAACTCCTCAAGACACAGGCCATCTCCGTAAGATTGCTTGGCACAACACCAGTCTGTAGTTTCAGGCGCTACATCCCCGTTCCTGTACACAACCCTAGCCCTAAACACGAGCACAGCACCGGGAGCTCTCGTCGCCTAAATTGGTGTCTCGAGAGTGTCATGCGCTACGGGGGGGCACGCCACTCGTCATTGCCTGGTGGCCTACCCAACATAACATCCACGAGGCCCTCTGTTCGAAGCAATTAATTGCAGTCTTGCCTGCGGCACGTGGGGACCTCAGGCATATCCTGAGTCTGCCGGCCTCACAAGCATTGAAAACATAACCGTCCTCAGGGCAACCGTGTACAAAGCCGGACCCCGGTATACCAGTTGGACGGGACGGGAGGTGACACCGAGCGTTCCCTTCTAGACGCCGCACAAAGAAGGACTGCATCACAAAGCACCTGTCGCTGCCACTGCTGTCGCACGATCACCGACTTCTTGAACCGATTCGGCTGTGCGGAGAATGGGATTGAAGAAACTGAGCAAACGCGTCTTTTCGCATATCTTCCACGGAAAGGCGGACCTACGAGCGACAGACCCACAAGACCGTCCCGATCGACACGGAAACACCCAAACCTTGCTTGCGCAAAGTGCAACCTCCGGAGATCGAGACCTGCCCCTTGATCGCAACGCGCAGCGGCCGAGACCCATCCCTTCACGCTCCGCCACCGCTGCTACTGCCACCATTGCTCCCAACTATTTCTTCGACCTATGGCTGCTAGACGAAGACTTTCCACCAGCTCGCCCTTTTCCGCTGCCTCCTCCCGCTCGTCTCCCGCTGTCGACGCCGCCGCTGCCGCCCCCGCTTCGTGAGGGTGGGTTGGTAGTTCCTGTCGAACCCTGAGCCGAGGAAGTCGAGGCTGCCGCTGTCGCCGCCGCCGCTGCCGCCGGAGGTTGACCTTTCGTCACCGACTCCTTCGCCCTTGACAGTATGCGCGGTGTTGGTGGCCCGGCCGACGCGCTGCTTTTCCCCGCCGTTTTGCTGCCGCCGCCCCTCGCGGAGCCAGAACGGCTCTTTGATGCTGCCGACGGAGCCTGTTGTTTGGTGGCCGGCGTCGACGCCGCCGTTGGCGCCGCCTTGGTCGCCTTGGCCGCCGCCGCCTCCGCCGCCGCCGCCTTCGCCGCCCTGTACGACGCCGACATCACACTGACTCCCCCCGCCGACCCGGTTGTTGTTGTTGTTGTTGTTGCTGCTTTTTGACTTCCTCGCGGAGCGGCGGCCGGTGGCGGCGGTGGTGGCTGGGGCCGCGAAGAAGACGATGACGCATTCTTAGCCGATGATGTTTTCGCCGTCGTTGCCGATGTGGACCTTGCCGCCGCCCTCGTCGCCGTCGCCGACCCCGTCGCACCTCCCCCCGTAGTCCTCCGGCTGCTACTCCCGCCGCCGCCGCCGCCGCCGCTACCGCGACTCGCGGAGGAGCCGAGCGCCGCCGCCCGCTGGCTATCCCTGACCCTCCTCGCGCCCCTCTCGCGCAGGAAGTCGAGGAGAGCGTTCTGCGGCTTGGGCTCCTCCTTTCCCTCGGACTCCCTGATGTCGGCCTGGACGTCCGCGCTCGGCAGCGGCTGCGCCGGCGACTGCAGCGCGGCGCAGAAGGCCTTGTAGCTCGCGTCCTTCTCGATCGTGCCCACGCGAACGTCCCGCTTGGGCTTCTGCTTGAAGAGCTGTTTTGTACGGGCGACGGGTCGGGGGTTCGGTTCGAAAGGTGAGACCCAGGTGGTGTTGGGCATGGCGTCAGGCAGGGTTGGAGAGGTTGGCAATCACCAGCTCGAGAGACAAAACATTATAGCAACACAGACAGCCGAGACAAGAGAGACACAAAAAACAACGCCTCCTCCTTACCTTCTGAAACGGGGCGGCCTCAACCGTCGGTCCCGCGGTCGCCGTCGTCGACGCGACGCCACCCCCGCTCTGCTTGCCGCCGCTTCCCTCCTTCGATGAGGAAGACGCAGGCTCCGCGGCCGGCGTCAAGGCGTCGGAGGCCGAAACCGCGGCGCGCAGCTTGGACAGGCTCAAGTCAGCGTTGGCCCCCCGCTCGCGGTCGATGTGGAGGTACGCCGTCCCCGTCACCTGTACATTGGCGCGCACGTATGCATAGGTACATTTAATGTTGGTCGCGATGATCGGCAAGAGCGTGATTTTTCACCGAGGTTTTGGGCGCCAATGACCGCGATGGCGCACCCAACTAGAGAGCAAACAAGAGGACGGAGTCCCGCACACACACACACACAGAGTCCGACGAAATAAAGGCTTCAGTCGAAGCGGTGCCACAAGTAGCAAAAGGCCGTCGGGCCGAAGTTGGAAAATACAAAAAGGATGCAATCACCCCCGTGTTCGTTCCGTGCTACAGTAGTGTCTACGGCGTGTGAACAGCTCCCTCACGGGTAGCAGGAACTCTTCTTAACAAAACAACAGATCAGTGAGAGCAGCCAAACGTAGGTCAAGAGCCTCAAAAGTGAGACGGAGAAATTCCCTTGCTCACCCTTCCTCTCTTCTTGCTCATCTTGCCCGGCGTGAAGTACATGAGGTCCCACGAGCCCCCCCGCTCCCCCATCCCCGCGTCAGAGGCCGCCGCTGCCAGGGCCTCGACGAACTCCTCCTCCTTCATCTGGTGGGGAAGACGTCGCACCACTACCTGTTGGTTCCGAAATCAATGGGCGCGCCGGGGGGGGGGGGGTCAGGGGCACTTGATCTGCTCATTTTGGAGACGAGGGTTGCCGGCGCCGGGGGGGGCGTACTCATGTCTTGCATGCCTTAGCGGTTAGACCATTGTCCTCGAGAGGACGGAGAGGGGGGGGAGGGGAGGGTCAGAGGGGCACTTGATCCACTCAATTTGGAGACTCGGGTTGCCGGCGCTGGTGGGAAGAACTCTTATGGAACATGGCTGAGGGCGTGCACAGCAGGAGCAAGGTGGTGGGAGGGGCTCAACGAGAGAGCAAACACTCTAGCCTCTCTGAGGAGTGCTCGAACGAAAGAGACTAGCGGCAGCTGGTGAACAACACAAAATATGCGACGAGAAGTTTGGCATGTCTCATTTAGTTGGCTATTGGCAGCTACATATCTGAAGCTGAGGGCCGCGGCCTGACACGTCGTTCGCGTGGGACGCACAAAACAATGGGGACTCGGTGTTTGAAATCTGTTCGCGGCGTTTCATAAACATGCGTACACAGATCCCGACAACGTTACGAGGGGGGAAACAGTCAACTACATTATGAAGTATAACTTCGAAGCCAAGTAAGGAACCAGGGCCGTCGAGTGTCACATTCAAATGTGTCAATTGCACGTTGCACCTCCTTGCCCAGACAACTGGCCTGGCCTGGCCGTGTTCTCTTGTGCCGGCCACGCGGCCATACACAGCGCGTCAGCTTTTCCGCGGACTTGTTGTTGATGCCTTACAGCAGCAGAACGGTTACCGGAACCAAAGGTGAAAGAAGTGACCCGCGACGAGGAATACGATTAAATAATGGCCCTTAAATAATTTACTTGTGAGTCAAGGCCCTTGTAGTGAAAGCGTCTTTGCTGCGCTGGTGAGGAAACGACGAATCGAATCCAAGCGATCTTCGGAGATCGGATACTGCTGTACGAATATAGCACAAGTAATCGCTTCATCATGACATAGGACGTAGGACGTCGAGCAGGGACAAAATATCAGCACGTCGTACAACGCAGCTGCATATCATTTCTCATTGCCGTGTGGATAAAGACATTGGTGTACTACCGGCCTGGTGCTACATACGCCAGAATCTTTGCGCCCGAACAACAGACCAACCTTGAGCAGCGAAGGCGACGACCTTGCAGACTTTGCTTTCGAGGGCGGCTTGGCGCTTTTCTTCGCCACGTTGCTTGTCATGATGAACTCACTCGCTGCTGTCCAAGGCACTGGGTTCTTTATCGCTCACGCTCTCCTCTCCCACCCCCTCTCTCTCGCTCGCTAGCTCGTGTGCCCGCTGTGCGGGCCGCCGCTCAGGGGGGGCTCACAGCGTGCGCCTAGCGAGATACTGCTATCCCTCCGTTCCTCGCCTGTTTTGCAAATTCCAGACCCCGGCTCTCTGTGCCCACCGTATCTCAGCTCCAGTCCCTTTCTTGCCGACTTCTCGCTCCCCAGCCTACATACGTACTGCTGTAGCTGCTGGTGGGTGCTGGTGGACAGATAGCAGGTCCGGTGTCCTGCGGTCCTGTGGGTGGGTGTTCAATTTGATTCACGGAACCCCCCGCAAAAGTTGACGTTTGTCGCCGTTGGACTTCATCCGCACGATCTCACCGCTGCTCGTAGCTAGCTGCTCGGCAACGACAAAGCAGCAGCTTTTCGCACCGCTTGGCGCGACATGCTTGCTGCTGGCGCAAAGCCGAAGAAGAGAAGCCGGCTGGCTCTACCACGGCAAAGAGGAGCACGAGCTACTTCGAATGGTAGCGCGCTGCGCTCTAATAATAGTAAGGCAAGTGAACAACAGCAGCAGGGGTCAGGACAAGCACGAGCGGGTGTCCCTGCTGACGGTGCGACGACCGCTGTCAATGGCGCTGCTAGCGGTAGCGCCGGCGGTGTGGCAGTTACTCCTCCTGCTACTGCTTCTTCTGCTTCTGGTCTCCCCTCTGCCCCCACCACTGCAGGCGCTGTTGGGCGTGCAAGTGCAGCAGCAGCAACAACGAGGGAAGAGCCTCTTTCTCGGGCGCGAGCACCGCAACAACATCGTGTCCCGAAGTCGGACGGGGGGTCGGGGTGTGGCGACGCCCTTGTTACCACGGACAAGAACAGCAAGTGTACAGCACACCAGCCGGCTACCTCTCCCTCCAAAGGTCCGGGGCAAGCAGGGCGCGACACAAATAGCCAGGGAGAGAGGGGTGGTGCCCGCCGACCGCCTCTGCTTGCCGTCCCTTTGAACGTGCGGTCGGAAGAGGGGACCACCGCAGGCGCGGCTGGGACAGCCAAGCAAGACCTCTGTACCGCTGCTGCTGCTGCTGCTGCTGCTACTATTGCTGCTGCTGCGTCTGAGGTGACGCGGCTGTTGGACAGCCTGACACAGAACAAAGATGGCTGTGACGAAGAAGATGGCGAGCTTCCCGGCGAAGCTGTGCGCAAGACACCGCCGGCGGCCGCAGGTCCCAGCAGCAGCGGAGGGACCAAGGACGATCAACCAAGCATGAACAACGGTAGGGCGAGCGGAGCGCAGAGCGACCTTCAGCAGCAGCAGCAGCAGCAGCCAAGGAGTCGAAAAAGGGGACGACTCGGTGACACCATGCCGTCCGCCGCATCGCCAAACCAACCGATTTTGCGGTCTTCACAGACACCGACACGGCAACGACTCGCGACAACACCGCCGGGAAAGCGAGGCGCAACAACAACGCACAACGGCGTCGACGGCACCCCCTCACACCCCGCCGCGGCAACGGCCGCAGAGCACGGTGAACATGAGCTGGTAGAAGAGTCGGCTAAAAGCGTAGGAGGAGGGGGGAGCGGCAGCAGAGCAGCCGCAGAACGGCGTCCTACACCCCCATCCTCTGCTGTGGGAGAGCCTTGTTTGGGAAAGCGACAGCGGTGTCCGGTGTGCGGCAGCGCCGTGTGGGGGCTTAGTGTCCGAGCACGACAGGCAAGGGATTAAGAAGCTTCGTCTTCGGACGTGTAATTATTTGCTTGCTTTGCGGAGCAGCTGATGCTGTATAGTGTGTGGAGTGTCCTGGCAGCGCGTATGTGTTGCTGTGCCGCGCAGGGAAAAAACGTGTAGTGCCCTCGCGTGTCCGCTGGAGATCTACCGCAATAGGTACCGCATGTACATACCCGCCTCTCTAGCTTCCGATGTTTCTTCTCTTCCCTCTCTCTGTCTGTTCCTCTCATTGGCGGTATTGGCTATGACGTTGCTGTGCTTGTTTTGGTGCTCCCGGTTCCGCTGACAAGAACACCCTTCGACCAACGCCCGCGGCGTCCTCGTTCTCTGCGGGTGTTGCCGCTGGTGCTGCTGGGTCCGCTGACCGTCGTCCTCTCATGGTTTAATGACAGATGCACATCAACTCTTGTCTAGACGGCATGGCGGCGGGGTCAAGTGCCGTTGGCGGGGGTGGAGCGTCCGCACGGGGTGAGGAGGCGGGGGCGAGAGGCTCGGGGGACGGGCTTTCGGCCCGACGATGTGAGGAGGCGTAGCAGGAAAGCTGTGTAGAAATCCAGAGGCCTGCACACTGCTGCTTTCTTCTTGTGCAACACCCTTTTCACTCTGCCTGCGTCTGCAGTTTTTGAACGACGTCACCCCACAAAGAATATTGCAAACAACATTGTTGTTGTTGCTTGCGGGCGGGCAACAGCGGCGCCACCGATACCCTCACCGCCGTTGTCTTTTCCGCGGATGTCGGTAGTGTGTTTTGGTGACAAGAGAGAACGATCCTTTCCAAATAGCATTTCCTACACGGGCATAGACACCAACGGTAGGAATCACCCCCCCCCTCCAATATCGAATACCACGTACGAGCAGCAAACTCTGGACTCTTTGTGCGATGAACTTACGCCCCGAACCAATAGAAAAACCCCAAACCTGCTGAAATGAAACAAAAAAAAACGCTGCAGCGTCGACGGAGGTTGCCAAGACCCCCAAGACGGAGTACCAGGAGCACATGCAGATGGCCAGGGCGCTGTCCAAGTCCCTCGTGGCGCCCAAGGCAACAGCGGTCCAAGATGAAGCGAGCGAGGAGGTAAGATTGCCAGTGCCATTGATGCAGCAGCAGCCATTTTGCGAAACGGGTGTTTGATTATATAAGCGAACCTGCTCTGTACTTGGGTGGGGTGTTGTGAGACGTAGGCAGTCGGCGCCGCTGTGAGCGAGCGCACTCGATAGTGCTTGGTTGAAAAAATGGCAATCAAGCCGTGAGGAGGATTTTAGGGACCTATAGCAGTAGCACAGCAAATGGCTGGGTTCCTGCATGACGCAGAGCCCTCGCGGGTGAAAATATTTTATATCGTGTTTGTGGTAGCAGTTGAGATGCAAGTCCTTTCACAGAGGGCCCACCGTGGATTTTTCTAACGAGAAAAGGCATGTAGGAGTGTTTAAACGGGTATTTTGTTGGTTATACGTTGTGTAATGGTGTTGCTGGTGTTATTTACCTTCAGTTGTACAAGCACAGCTACGTGGAAGCACAGGTTTGCACAAAGTTGAGCTCATGTGCGCACATTTCGTTTTTGGGAGGTTGAGGCTAAAGTTGCTTCTCCTGCCTGTTGAGAGTATCCGAAACAAGCGTACATTCACGCATGCTTAACAAAAGAAGGGCCATCTGTTCTCTTTGTTTTCGTGCCTCTATTTGCCGCTTTTAGTGCAGCTTGCCCGAATACGGCTTGATGTGCTGCGAAAAAATGCCCCCTCAGCCGAAAAGGGCAATATTTCGTCACCTCTACCGACTGTTACCACCCCTGCGCCCCAGTCCACCCAAATCAACGAAAACCGTCGAGATGCTACGCACAACGTACTGGAAAGGGGCCCGGTGCCTGTGAAGGCCTGTACTTTTCGGATAACGGGGTTTAGTAAGGATAAAGGGGTCGTCCTCAGCGACATTGTCTGTGTGGTCATTTTTGTGGAGAGGGAGAGGGGTCTGGTTTGACTTTCAGCAGCAAGCAACTACATGTGGAGTATGGCGGCCTACGATTCCCACCGCTTGTTGAAGCGGTGCCAAAACTCGTGCTTTCCCGCTGGCGTCTTGTTCTTTCTCCAAGCACCCTCTGCCCCCTCCTCCTCGTCGACCTCCTCCTCCCCCAGGCGGCGCGCCCTTACGACCTGATCGGCAACACCCTCAAACACTTGATTCCCGGTCTGAACTGTACAATTGTCACACGGCCGCGGGCATGCACGATACCCTCCCCCCCTCCCCGGAAGTAAGCATCAAGATGCCGAACACCCTTGGCAGGATGCAGCGCACCCTTCATGCGACTCGCCGAATACCTCACGGCGCTTCGCGCTTGGTGATGTGAGAGTCTGGTCCGGTGAGAACCCGGCGTGCTCCGTCCCGGATTTGTAGGGATACGAGGTCAATGGTCTAACGACTATTATACGGCATGCACGGTACCCCACCCCCCACCCCCTGCACGTCCCGCTCTGGTCCCTGGGTACAATGCACGACGAAGGAGTTGGCGAGGAACCCGGCTGCCTTCCGCGCCAAGGAGAGACGGCTGGTGGGGGTGCTGAAAGACCTGGACGTAAAGCTGGAGCGCCTCAAGAAGGACCGGGACTCCGCTCTCAGGAAGTAAGTTTCCTAGAGAGTTTTGCTGTGAATAATAGAACGCGGATAAAAGGAATGATGTTGACGCCCAACACCAACAACAAGTGCTACTATTACTGTACGATACGGTGGCGCGCTTCCTTCCGCCTTGCTGCGATTGCACAAGGGACAGGTGTCACCCGCGTACGTAGTAGGCACCGACGCGACGGCCTCCTTAGTCCCGTGCTCTTGTATTTTAATCCGTACCACCCAGGCTTGCGGCCCACCGCACTCTCGGTGCGCGTTTGTCCGCCGGGGCAGGCGGGGTACCCAGCGAGAGCGGCGGCGGCGACGGCGGCGGGCCCCCCAAGACCGCGGAGGAGGTGAGGCATCACTGGTTCGGCGGCGGTTCAGATCACAGAACAAGGCCCAATTGTGCGTCTTCTCGTTGTTGTACATATGACCCCAGGTGGGGCCAGCCCGCGTTGTTCCTTTTGCTGGAGAAGAAGGCGTGCGGTTCAGGTGGGGGGGGGGGGGGGGGGGGCACTGAAGTTTATGGTTTCAGTTGGAGACGGAAGCACAAGTTTTCATGGTGTTTCTCTGCAAAGGTTCTGATTGTCTGCCCCGCCGTCTTTAACTCCTTTCCGGTGGCGTCACGTTTTCTCTCGTCGCTTGGGCGTTGAAAAAATCGCCCGAAAAAGGTTGTGGATATCATTTTCGCCGATGAGCACGGAGCCACCGCCGCCGGCGGTATCGGCGGCGGCGGCGCGAGAACGCCGTTACCTGTGTCGACGAGCGGCCTGTCCGAGGGGGGGCGTGCGCAACAACGGGGAGCGGGGTTGCTGCCGCCGTTGTCGTCGTCGTCGTCGTCGTCGTCATCTCTGGTGTCTTTGTTGTCGAAAGGGACGGCAGTCGCTACTGCTGCTGCTGCTGGTGGCTCTGATGCTGGGTCGGGCGAACGACCGACAACGGCACCACGACGCAGCCGACGAGAACGGGCTGAGGGAACTCCCGCGCCCCTCCTCGCGGCAGAGGAGGACGGTGCGTCGGACGGAGCGGCCGAAAAAGGAGGAGGAGGAGGAGGGTTTGTTGCTGGTGCTCGCGGTACACCCCCCTCCGGCGATAAGCGTCGGTGCGACGACGACACGGGTTGTTGCGGCGATGATGACGACGATGATGAAGACGACGACACAGGAGTGGGGAGGTTGATTCGTCGTCGGAGTAGTGGGGGCGCTAACGACAACGGGCAGCGGTCGACGCCGGGCGGAGACGGGAGTAGGGTTAGGCGTGGGAGGACGCTGTGGGCCATCGCTCAGGGGGCGGACGAGCTGAGTCAGTCCAATTTCGTTACGGGAGTGTTCGCAGACATCAAGGCCAACTCCATCGGTAGCGTGGGAGGAGGGGCGGGTGGGAAGCCGCAAGCCGCCAAGCCGGGACGTCGGGCGGCAGTGACGGCTGCGGCGTACGGCGACGCGAGGTTGTACAACCGCCGCGTTGGGTCTTCCGCCGCTGCTTCTGCTTCGGCGTTGTCTTCAACCTTGTGCTCCAACCGAGGAGGCATCGACGCTGCCACTCGCTCTGCCGACGCTGCTGACACCGACAAAGGAATGGGCGGGGGTCGACCAGGGAAAAGCGAAAGGGAACAGAGCGTGAGCCAGCTTAACCCTTCAGATGAGAACGGTGGTGGTGGTGGTGATGGTAACGACGCCGTTGATGACGCCATTCAGCTGCTGTCGCAAACGCTGTCGCAAGCTTCGGTGTCGGGTCGCGGCGGGACGGCCTCCGCGCAGGACGGAGGACAGGAGAACAGTGGCAAGAAGCAAGAGGAGGAGGCGGAGAGGTCCGCCGCTAGGCACATCGCGCGGGCGCCGGTGTCGGCTCTCTCCGGGCTCTTCCCCAACTGGAAAGAGAACGTCATTTTCGTGTTCCGGCAGGGAGCGGCGGAGCTCCGCCTAGCGCTGCAGGGCATCGTAGCCGCGTTGTCCGAGGAGGAGGAGGAGAAAGCGGCGACGGCCGCAGGCGGGGGAGGAGGAGGGGGGGGGGGGGGGGCGGGTCCGGAGGGGCGCCCTAGTGGTGTTCGTAGGAGAAGCAGAAAGGCGGAGGCGTTGGTGTTCTTCGAAGGCGTTGTTCTCGAGGCGTTGGAATTGAGGGGCCCTGCTTGTAGTAGACGGTCGGCTTCTTTGGGGGAGGAATCAGGCCGTGAGGATGGCAGCCGCAGCCCGGGGTTCGAAGCAGGGTCCCGGCAGACACTGCACCGTGGGAGTGAGGGTGTCGGTGATGGTATAACTAGCGGTGACGCCGCAACACCTGGAAGCGATAGCCCCCCCCGCGGTGGCGCGAGTAGCGTTCAAGATAACGTTTTCGCGTTAGAAGAGCAGGAGGAAAGCGCGAGAAAGAGAGACGACGGCGCCGGCGCCAGCGAAGGCGGTGTAGGTCAGGCCGGAGGCGACGGCGAGGATGGAGATCACCTTTCGGTTGCCGATGAGGCGATGGGGTTCGAAGAGACGCACGCCGCCACCGCTGAGAATGATGGCCATGACGCCGAGCCTGCTGCTGTTGGAGCAGACGACGGCGACGCAGGCATGCGGAGCGTTGGGCACCCCCATCACGGAGACAGCAGCGTGGAGGCCATCGTGCTCAGCGGCGACTCCACCGCGTCAGCGGTGGTCACCTTCGACCTCACGAGCTCGGAGGCCAGCAAGCGTTGTTCTTCCGCCGGTGACACCGCCGCCACCGCTGCCGCCGGTGGCGTTGCCGCGGCAGGGATAGCAGAGTACCCGGTCGGTGCTGACGGTAGCGGTCGGAACTCCGGCCGAGGCGTCACGGCAAGGATAAAGAACGGTCAAGAGGAGGAGGAGGAGGAGGAGGAGGAGGAGGAGGAGGAGGAGGAGGAGGAGGAAGATTACACGTTTGTGATCGTGGGCAGGGGCGGCGGCGGCGGCGGCGGAGGTGGAGCCAATGATGCTGACAGTAGTAGTCGGAAGTCCCACCGAGGCGTCACCACAAGCGGAAGGAATTGCCAAAGGAAGGAGGAGGAGGAAGAAGATGACGAGTTTGCGATGACGGACAACGGTGGCGGAGATGGCGCCAATGGCCCGGGCTCAACCGACGAGAGAGGCGAAGCTAGCGGTGACGGTAGCGACATCATCGACCAGTACGCCCTGGAGGACGAATACGGCTTCGACGACCACAACTATTGCGCCTGGGGTGACGAAAACGACTTGTCGTTTGTTCCCTCTCCCGACAGCGACGGTGTCGCCGACGAGCGGCAGCCGCCGCCGCCGCCGCCGCCACCGTCACCGCCGCTTTCGCCGACACAACGGCCCCCCGATATCGATCCCCCCGCTGCTGCTGCCGCTGACAAAGCCTCCCACGATTCAACGTCCGCGGTGGGGGACGAGCTGCTGGATCTCACTCAGGTAGCGCCGCTGCCGTCCCCGTCGCCGAGACGCTGCCGTGAGCCTCTAGACGCGGCAGCGGCGACATCGCCTATTGGTCGGGGTCGGTCGCAACATCGCGGACTTGAAAGTCCGGCGGCGGCGGCGGCGCGCAGGCATCACCGCACACCGCCATCTTCTCCGGTAGAGGAAGAGGAGGGGGCTCCGTCTTCGAGTGCCGGAGGGGGGAACGGGGACGATGCCGAGCTGCGGGAGGTGATGCCTTCGTTCGGGCAGATGACGCTCCAGGAGCTGGCCGGGATGATGGCGGTGTACGGGCTGAAGAAGAAGTCTAAGAGGTTGGTGTGCCTCTTGTTCGCGCATCCTCGTCGTGAGGTTTATCGTCGGTACAATGTATGAATTCGCAGGAATTTTTGCATTGAGCAGATTCCGCAGCATGTTGGGAGGGGTGTCCAACAGGGGTACTAGCAGTGCTCCGTCTTGAATAGATGTCTACGAAATACTTCGGCTCTCTTGCTTTCGCTCTCTTCATCTGTATTTTTCCCCAAGGTTGTGTATTTGCAACAGCAAGGCATAGCGCGTATCCTCATGTTGCTTGCCAAACAGAAACTGTTGGTGCATTGTACCAGCTCCGTTTCGAGGCACCTCCCTCACATACCCTTCTTGTCCTCCAAACGCCCCCTCCGAATGCCCAACCCCCTGCGATCCCTAGGGAGATGACGGAACGCCTGGAACACATCTGGAAGACCCTGCACCCCGCTGCCGTCGAAGGAGGCGTGTCTGCGGCGGGGGACGGAACCGCGACTTCTTCTTCTTCGTCGTCGTTGTCCAGCAGAAGCAGAAAGCGAGACGCGCCGTCTCGGGATAGCGGTGGCGGTCCCTCTTCTTGTCTGTCGGCGTCTTCCCAAGGTCGTCGGCGCGGCAGGGCGGCGGCAGAGGCGAGGCCCACCTCTTCACCAGCGGCGGCGGCGGGGGCGGCGGTGACGTTATCGACAAGCATTCCACGGCGCCCTCCGGTAAGCCAGCCGCTTGCTGCGAAAGAGAAAAACACGTTTGTTGCGAATATTTACTCTGTTTGAAGACGATAAGGACTATTCGAGTACAAATGTGAATGTCGCAATGGCCCCGACGATGTTGCGACACCTTACTTTGTCGATGATGCTGCGGTGTTACTTTTTTTTTTATGGTGCTGCGGTGCCTTATTGTGTCGATGATGCTTCGGCATGTTATTTTGTCGATTGATGCTGCGGTGCCTTGTTTCGTCTGTTTTTGTTTTGCGCCTCCTTCGGACTGGTCCGCCGCCACTTCGAAACAGCTTCCGAGGGCACCCCGAGGTGCTGGTGTCCCGGGTGCTGGTGGTAGTTGGGGGGGTAGGTTTTCGCAGGAAGAAGAGGCGGTGCCCCCGCTGCCATCGACGTGCAGGTCTCAGCAGCAGCAGCAGCAGAGGCAGCAGCAGCAGCAAGGGTTTATTGCCGAGAACGGCAGCGGGAGGAACGGGGGCGACGCGGACCTCGGGGAGAGTATACGCAGCGTGATCATGTAAGAGTTTTGTCACTCGCGCGGTGGGAGGGAGGAAGGCGTGAGGGTGTACTAATGTAGTGCGTGCCTTCGTTAATAGGCCATCGGCATGCGGGGGGCATAGAACTACGAGGAAACGTAAACAAGTGTAGTTGGAAGGAGAGCGATTGTTCCATGTTTCATGACGGGCGCCGCTCCATTTTTTAGAGGTGGCCCGCTGACATTTCTTCGACGACGGATTCAAAGATGTTCCACCAACGTTTCCTTTCTAAAACATGAACCAACTACACAATGTACATTTTTGTTGCCCCCCCCCCCCCCGTTGATACACGCATCAAATTGGCGGTTTTGAAGAGTGTAATCGTTACCGCCGCTAGAGTACGCCGGAGAAGTATGGGAAGGCAATAAGAAGGTAGTGAAAGAACTCGAGGCGGCGCAGATGAAAGCAGCGAAAAGCATCCTAGGATGCTCCAAGCGCACAAGTAATGCAGCCGTAAGGGCAGAATTGGGGATCCAATCCCTACGGTCGGGAAGAGACGCAAGGAAGATGACATGGCAGTATCGCATGTGCGGGATGGGAGAGGAGAGGTTGCCGAAAATAGTATGGGAGGCGAAGTGGGCAAACAAAAAGAGGGGTAGACAACCCACGGAATGGGTCAAGGTTGTAGAGGACGTATGGAAGGGGTTAGACATCGACGAAGATGAAACGCTGGAAACGGAGGGTCTACAGGGGTTCAAGGAGAAGATATCTGTTGCTTGTGCCGAGAGTGAAGAACAGAATCTAAGGAAAGAAACCAAGGATAAGGAGGGTCTAGAAGTGTACGGAATGTTGAAAGAAGGAATAGGGTTCAAGGATTACCTACATGGACCAATGGATGCAGGGACAAAGCTGAAGGTCAAATTCAGGACCGGGGACACATGCCTTCGAGAACGTCGACGAAGATATAGGACGGTAGACGACGAAGACGACAAGTTCAAATGTGATTGCGGCTTCGAATGCGAAGACCGTGTTCATGTAGTCGCGGAATGTCTGTGGTACGAAGAGGAGAGGGAAGTGTACATGACTGAGCTGGGAAAAATACATGGGACGTACAGGGAGATGTTTGAGGCATGGAATAGAGAGGAGAGGACGGTAGCTGTACTGGGGAGTAGGAAGTGGTTTGAAAAGGCGGGAAGGGATATCGTTAGGATAGACAGACTAGGGAAGACATGTTTGAGCCACCTTTGGCAAAGTAGGAAGGAACGATTGGCCATCGGTGATCGGTCCTGTGGGAACAATGCTCCGTCCTCTCGAGGACGCGTGGTCAATGGTCTAACCGCTAAGGCATGCAAAACATAAGAGTACGCCCCCCCCCCCCCCCCCGGTTGGCTCGTTTGCCTTCCCGGCGTTGTTGCACAGGGGATACGCACCACTCTATGAGGATGTTCTCCTCCCTTAAGGTGAGTCCACGGTAAGCAGAGTACGATTGCTGTTGTATAACTAACTGTTGTATAAATAATATGGTAGAAACTACCGGCCCTCGTGATGGGACACAAAACCTGCCGGCACCCTTCCTTTTTTTTTGTGTCTGTGGGCGCGGATGCCGAACGGGCGACCAGGTATGGTAGATTGTAACACGTGTGGGCAACGATGTGGCGTGACTGGTGTTTTGAAACCGCCGTCCTTTCTCTGGCTCTCGTTTTTTTTTACTGCGAAGGGTTGAAAGACTTGCGATGTGTCCCATCTTGTCGTGCGTGACACCGGCGGCGGCAGCATGACACCCGCTCCCTCGTGACTACTCTCGATCTTTGTTGTTGAGTGGCACAAAAAATACAAATTAATACCTCGCCGCCCATTACCTTTTTCGGTGTTTCAGTATGCTCCGTCCGGGACAATACTTCTAGTTGCGTTTCAGGTCATAACTTCCGAAATACCTTGAGTTGGAGGCAAATTCAGCCATCTTAGTTATGCCCACGTCAAGGGGAGGGGGGGGGCGGTTTTAAGTTTTAAACCCGTCGATGAAGCCGATACCCTCCCCCCTGTTACTTCAGACTGTGGATCTGTCCGCCATCCACACGTTGATCAAGAACGCCGGGGTGAAGTGCACGAAGAAGGACCTGGCCTCCTACCTCGACGCCCGAGGGATAACGTTCATTGACAGAGGGGGGGTCAAAAGACGCGCCCGGGGCGGGGAGCGGGAAACCGAAGGAGAAGAACAATCGCAGCGGAATAAGAAGAAGCAGAAGAAGAGGCGTCCTGGGGCGACGGGGGCGGCGGCGGGGCAAAGTGCCGCTGTGTATGTAGCACGGAACGGTACTATCTGTAGATAGCGGTGGGGGGGAGAGAAGCGAACCCGGAAGGTTTAAGGAGACGCATGCGGCAAGGTTGTGTGTGCTTGGGTGGTGTCGGTGAAAAATGTTGCACTTCATTTGACACCGTGTACAAACGATATGTGTATGTTTGAACTTTCCCACGAAAAATTGTAGGGGGGAGAACGAGGAAGAGAGGTGGGATTTTGGTACAGCTACTACTGCTGTCAAGAATGTCGACGACAGTCTTGTGGTGCGTGTACATCTGCGTCTGTTTTTTTTTGTTGTAGTCTGGACCGTGTGTTGTTCCGTTCTTTTATTTTCGTGTGATTCGTAGGCCGACCCTCAAGAGGTTTGGGGCACTTTTGGCCAGTGCGTTTTTTTTGTCTTAACTTCAAATCAGCGCTCACAGCGCACGTGTGCCGTTTACTCCAACCCGTGGTCACTCACCCAGAAGGGTGCCCCTCCCTGGGGCACCCTACCCAGCCCTCCTGCGGTACTGCCTTCGATTCGTAATGCGAGAAGTGTGCAGCACTCTCTTCCCTCCGTATACACACGAACTAGCGCTTTCCACCAGACAAGGAACGGAAGCGAGAGAAACTCACTTTGCAAGAAGAGCTCGCTTACGCCGGGATTCGAACCCCTGACCCTGGGCACTACTGTAGAAGGTTTTCGAGGATACCAACCAGACTACCGGGGCGACCGGCTAGCGTGGCTTAGCACACCATCGTCCTTCTGTAAGAAGCGGTTGGGATCAGTTCGAGGTAGGCCAGGAGAGAGCTATACCGCTCATCTAGCGTATGGCTCGTCATCTTGTTTCTCCCTTTCCGTGCGTGCTGTCGTGCCAAAGACCGCCCACGTTTTCGATGTCAAACGGAAACCCACGCACGACTTTTGTTGTGCTATGCGTCACGCCCGTGTAATTTTTGGGAGAAGGCCATTCATTGCTGTCGGCACGCCTTGAAAAAAGTGGCGTGCGACAGCAGCAGTGGATGCTGAACGCTGAGAGGTTGCGTCACATGCCTCCGACGTCCTTGTACCTCTGTACGTGCGTTTTTGTTGAAAGTTCGTTTTGTTTTCGTCTACCGTACACAAAGTAGACTGCCTGCATGTGGGAGACCGATGCTTGTTGCGCGATAACCGTATCGATCTTCCTCAGTACGGCTAGTTAAACCATCTGCTAGGTGCGATTAATAGATGTCCAAGATCCCCCCCCAAAAAAAAACAGTAAACAAGAACGGAGTACAGACGTTTCCCCTTTTAGTGTCGGTTGAACAGTGCCAATGCCCGGTATAGTGACAACGTTTTCGGCGGGCACGCACCGAATTTCCAAGTCATTGTTTGTACTTTGAATCGTTCCGGTCCGGTATTGTATGTAGTGCCGATGAATTTCCAGGGCGCATGCCAGCACAAAACCGGGACCCCCACTGTATGTCTTCAATGCGCCTCACCCCAATTATATCGTCGGAGCTCCCCCCCTTGTTCCGAGGCAGCAGCACGCCGTAAGCCAGCCTTGCAACACTCGAGAACATCAACACGGGGTAAATTCCCGGCGGTCTACCACACCTCCGATTGCTGCGTTGGCATCGATCCTGGGAACATTCCTCTTCCTATGCTGTGATAAAAAAGCAAACATTGCTACACTCGACGAAAAGCCTCCCGCGTTTCTTGTGGTCTACTGTTTTCCTACCACCTGGAACGTGAAACGAAAAAAAAAAAAAAGTTGCTAATTCTGAAAGAAAAAAGTCAACTCCCAAAAAACAACAGAAAACCAACACCACGAGGAAAAGGGTGGCCGCTGTCGTCGTTCTCGTCCCGCTTGTCGTCCAAATTCTTGTACAGCCTTCCATCCATCTACCTGTCTATCTATCCTTTGTTGTTGCTTGTTGCGCTGCAGCGGTGCTGTTCATCCGAAGAACCTTCGCGGTGGACCCTCACGTTGTGCCTTATGGTGCCGAGGGGGGAAGGGAACAATAGAATCGAAAGCAGATCGGATGGACAGCAGGTCTCGCTCGGAGTAAGGCTAGCGAATTGGCAAGGCAAAAGAAAAAATCGCAACAAGATTAACCGATAAAAACGTATTCAAACCGAAACAAAGATTGGATGGACAGCAGGTCTCGCTCGGAAATAGGCATGCTGCATTGGTTCAGCCACACGTGTCGTGACGATTGAGCTCTCGTAGACGGGGGCGGCTTGGGGTGTGTTGGCCTGGTCGTTCAAGGCGTAGAGTACGCTGCAGTTGAGCCACATTGTGTATTACAAGGGCATACCTTCTTTAACGCGTCTGATTCTCTTTGCAGGCATTCCTTGTAGCGCTCGAAGAACGGCCCGCAGGCGTTCTGCCGACGTTGGCCGTGGCGATGAGTGGGCGGTGCACGTGTTAGGGGCCCGCAGGTGACACCGACGAGAACAGCGGCGGCAGCAACAACAACAAGAAGCGTGAGACGGCCGGATGATGTTGTGCCCGCATGGATCTGGCTGCATCAAAGTAGCTTGAATCAACGGAACCCTTGGCAACAAAGCCCTTGAGGCATCGACAAAAAACTGAACTCTGTAGTATAACGCTTGGCACGCGAGCGCTCTGGAGTAAGAGGAGATGCTTGACGGAAAGATTGACGTATTTTCAAAGGGAGTTAGAGGGGGATGACCCAATCTACTATATAGACGGTAAGTGTGCAAGACACTACACACTGCTGTAGCACGATAAACAGCAGTGTGGCGTTGATGCCAGCGGATGTACTTTGAACAAGTGAATGGCTACGCGGTGTGAACGTTCCGGAAGGCATACGAGATAAATAGATGTATCTTGTAATCTGCAGCGGAAAAGGCTATTTTTTATTTGTTTATTTTTTTCAGCAAATACATACCAGTGAAACAAACACGAAAACGTGTCGGCAAAAAATGAGTCCCATGGGGGACTCCAACAAGGATCGTTCATTCTCGCGTGCTATGTAACCCTCCTACAGTACCTTGTTAGTTACCTGGTACAGGTTTTGAGTCCAGAAAAAATCACGTCCGCTCATTGGGAGAGGCTGTACAGTCCCGAGGGCCGAAGGCTGGCATGGTTCGGTATGGATTGTGTCCCCAAATGCACTGGGGACACTTTCTACAATGAAGCCAAGCCAGCATATTTTTCCAGTACTAGGCTACGTACAGTTTTACCAACAAGGGGACCCGCGGCTTAGGAGATTGTGTACAGCAAGTCAGAGGTCCAGGAGAGGCACACAGGCATCACACGGCAGTAATCACACGACGTCGTACCACCTCACACTCAAGCATGGTGGACCAAGGTTCCCCACGCACGTTTCATGCAGCAGAGCATAGTGGCGACCACGGTGCGGGAAAGAGGCATTTGAGTGCTGTGTCCCCAAAGTGTCCCCATTTGGGCTTCCAGTATCCCTCACCAGGAGGGTTAACCGCTTCGCTGTTCAGCGGTAAAGCATGTGTCTTCATGTTTTCACATGGGCACGTCGTGCGACAGAATTTGCAGACAAACTTGACACGTTGGAAAAATTTCCCATGAAAAAATAGTACAGGAGCGACCCATGTGAGAGGTGACAGCAGTGTTCAAGAACGACGATGCTTATCTATGCGACACAGAGTTGGTCGGCGAGTACTTCACAATCGAGAAATTGATTCCTCCATCCCATGCGCAATCCAAGACGAACAGCGAACGACCGACACGATGCCTCCTTAGCTATGGGTTCGAGTCGCAATGAGTGCGTCAGAGTGCGATCTGACGTTGGATCATCGATATTCGCCTTACAGGAACTGACAGGGATGGGTGGAAATGGGTGTGGCGTACGGTCTTGACCGCTGACAAGTATTTTGGCAAGTGGTTGATGGTGTGCACAAGCAGTATTATGCATGTTGTACAACGAACATCAACATCACACCTTTGCCTTTTCTCGATCGGTGCCGAAGCTTTCCATGCACTTAAAGCTTTCCGCCGCGAATTCTCTGCACTCCGACTCCATCTTGCTTGCCGTCATCGTTTCGCGCGGTTTGAAGCTAGCAGCGTGAGCAGTACAGGCCTCTGCTGTTGCTGTGTCGGGGTTATCCGTCCAGCATCGGGTGCGGTGTAATTAAATTCAAAGGTACCCCCATTTTGAGCGTGAACCCGCGTAGCCCCTCTTGGTTGCCTCGCTTTGCCATCCCCAACCGAACATGGAGAACCGGGCCCTTCGGCTGCCACGGGCGGAACCGTTGCTTCATGTGCCTGTTTCGGCTATCGTCGAGTTCGTATCCAACAGAAGCGAGGTGGGGCTGTGAAATCAGGGCTTAAAATATTTTGAAATCCAATGAACAGGCTTGACGGTACTCTGAATCCAAGACAAATATTCGAAAACATTCATCGGCTCACCAAGTGTTCACATCGAAAGCGTTCATGTTGAGCGGGTACTAAGTTGGTAGAGGACGTAATGGAGCAGCGATTTGCACGTTGGCATGCCCAGATCTGTTGCCGGGGCCGCGCGGTCGAAGGCTGCAGCTGCCGTCCGAAAACTCCACAAATCTATTGTCCACACAAGTGACGATCCATGCTGCTGTACGCGCTGTCGCAGATAACAGATCTTCATATCATGCAACCCGCGGGCGGGTGTACAGCAGTGTTAGCTCACACCAGATAGCCTTTGGACGACCCGCGATTCGGGGGATTAGTAATCGCACGTGGTTCCTTTGCTGTTCCTCGTGTTTCCTTCGGTCTTTTGTATGTTTCCCGATGCGTGCTATGTAGGCTGAAGTGCTGCTCCGTATCGGAGACCTGGGTCACGAGTTCGACCACCTGACGCGCACCCTTGTGCAGTGGCTCGAGCACGAGCAGGTAAGAGACACTCTTTGGGAGAGGGCACACGTAGTCTATTTGGGCACACACACGAGCAGATGTTGAGGTTCAGGTTTCACCTCGGTATAATGTAGCTTCGTGTATATCACACCCCGCCCACCTGATGTATGTATGATCAAGTCTACGGCGGTATGTCGATGGGCGGTAAGTTCTTCGTCCGGAGGGGGTGCGAACGCGGTACGATTCGGAGTGGATTTTTGGCGTGTTGTTGGCCCACCGGATGAATCCCTACCAATGAGATGTCTCTCATTCCCTCCTGCGGTAAATCCTTGGTAGACATACCTCCCTCCCCTCTTCTTTCAAATCAACTCACGCCGGACGGCTTTTTCCCGTGCCGTTGCGGAACACGATGATAACGAACAGCACCTGACGGCTGATGGCTGTCTGCAGGAGGAGCAACAGCCGGTGGAGGACTCAGGAGAGTCGCTGGTCTTGTCTCTCGTCCCCCTCGCACGTGAGCTTCTACCAACCCCCTCCCACCAGTTCCAGCGAGAAGTCTGAGGCATTAATAGCCGGGAGAAGACGGTAGCTATAACTGGGGCAGAGGAAGTGGGCTGAAATGGGCTGAAGAGGAGGGTAATGTTATCGATAGGATAATGAGTGGTCAAGATCTAACAACGAGGGCATGCGAACCATGAGTACGCCCTATCCCCGCCCCCCTCCTCCCTGCCTAAGGCGTTTTTGTCTGTGCACCACTATTTTGACATTCATCACAAGACGGCCGCGATGCCGACATGGATCGGATTTTTCGTTGGCTGTGGCGTCGTTGCGTAATTTTGGTGAATTTATTCTGCTTGGTTACGGCTCCTGCAGGTGTTCAAGCACCAACAGTTTTGTTTGCTGGCGTTGTGGTTGCTCATGGTGGTGGTGTCACTGCAGATGAAAGGGCTCCCGTCGTGTGGTCGGCCGATGTGTACGGTTCCTCTGTCCGGGAAGGCTGTCCGTGAAAACTGCCGAAAATAGTCTGGCGGAATACTCCGTACGCTGGTGGTCGCTTTCGTTTTCGAGACGAACCGCTTGGCTACACCAACACTCCCTATCCGCTCCAATGCGCAAGTCTTGTCAGGTAGTGGTTTGGTATTTATTTTCCTCACTGTGCCGACGACACCGGGTGGAGTTTGGAGTAGGAAGCGAGACAACCGACATACCACAGTCAACGACGTCAACCTACCCTGTCCGTGGGGTGGTGGCGAGGGCTCAGCGTCGGCTTGCGTCTGACGACTTGTGCTGCGGCCTCTTGCTTGTGTGTCGTGATTGATCCATGTCCCAGACCAGGCGCGGGTGGTCAACAGACACGGAGTCAGGGTGCTGCAGGAGAAGATAACCGAGTGCCTGCAGCAGCTGCAGAGATACATGGTGGGTGTAGTTCTGAGCGACGGCTTGGGAAAGTGAACCATGTTATTTTACCGTATACCGTCCACCGTGGACCGAGTCTTGACGCCAGGTTTCGACACACAAAAACGCTACCGCCGAAGATGGTTATTCAGCAGTTTTTTTGGGAGATTTCCGCCGACGCCGTCTTACGGCAGAGACAGGCATCGGGACAATCATCACGTGCAGAACACGTCGTGCAGAACACGGGCACCACTGCTGTTTGGCCACAGGGAGAGAGAGCTGGTGCCTTTCGCCACCGGCGATATTTACATAGCTCGTGGCTATCGTTATCCTTGAAAAAAAATAAATGGGGCCTGTACACTGTATTATTTGTTTTGTTTTCTCAGATTGCGCTCGTGGTTTGTTTCCGCACTGCAGAAGAAAGAAGAAAAACAGTAATCATGATGACCGGTCAAGCCGTAACAAGTCGTCTCAATCGGCCTCTTTGCGGTACTGCTGTTTTGTGTTTTACCTCATTTGCGTGCCATCTGCCAACCTTTGCCGACCCAATACCGCTTTTTTTTTCTGCACAGGACGCCGTCCAAGTTTTCGCCAACCAGAATGCTTCCTTCTCGCAAGAGCTGCGCCTCTGTGGTCTGGGGGATCGCGCCGAGCAGCGTCGCCGATTGTGAGAGAAGCGTGAATCTAACAGATTGGTACCTGCTGTTTTCTACTTCGTGGCATGCATTGTTTTTAGTCAGTATCCAAGCAAGAGCGTTTTTCTTCGTTTTTCCTGGTGGAGTTGGAAAGAGGGAAGGTTAGTGTTTATTGTTTGCGCCCTCCCCCCCCGTTACCATTTTCGCCACGTGTATCGTGGTTGGTTTCTCCTGCCCCTGATGCTGTGTATCATAAACACTCTGCTTGATTCTCACGCCATACGCTATGCCTCCCCCCCGCCCCGGCATACTCAACGAATTCCTTTCCCTTGCCACACACCCGGGGGCATCTGTTGATCTTGACGGAAATGGGCGGCGCTATCATTGTTGTTGTGGTGCGCAGAGCGGAGACCGAGTCGGCCCTGGTACGTCGGCTTGCTAAGTTTCTCGGTGGTTGCGACAGCTTTTACGACGAACAGCCGCTGCCCTTGGCGATGCAGTTCGCCGCCGCAGAAGAAGCGGCCGCGAGGACAGCAGTCCCGCCGGCGGAGACGGAGGCCGTTAAATTCAAGCAACCGGCACCGGTAGTAGCTCCCCGAGAAGGAGCAGCGGCATCCTTACCAGTAGCAGCGCCACAGGAGGAGGAGGAGGAGGTGGTGGTGGAGGAGGAGGAGGAGGAGCATAGGAAGAAAAAGCGGCACGCCGGCGCGGGGGCGGGAAAGTCGTGCCCGGCGGACGGCCACGACGATGAACCGAAAAGCAACCTCGGCAGCCGTACGGCTACTACTGGGGGCGCTGCGGGGCGCAAACGCCCCTTGCCACCGACAGGAAGGTCAGTTGTGGCTGTCCCAGAAAGCACCGGCGCCGGCGCCGCTGGAAAGTCAACAATTGAGCAGCAGCAGCAGCAGCTCTCGCAAGACCAGGAGGGCCGTCTCCACAACGACCCCCCTTTCCTCACACCTCCGGCGATAATCGCCGTCGCGCCTGCAACTGGCGGCGGTGGCGGTAGTAGCAGCAGCAGCAAGAACGCGGCCACAAGCGGCGGCGGCGGCGACGGCGGCGGTACCTCCGTGGGCCCGCGCGGACCGCTCGTAGCCCCGCCCAGCTCCTGCTCGTCGTCGGGGTCCACTCCGAGCAGCGCGTCTATGTCCCCGGCGCTTGTCGGTCCTTCGCCCTTGCCGACGCCAAAGTTGCTGGTGATGCGGAGGGAGGAGGGCGGGCCCGGCGCCATTTCTGCCGGGGGCACTGCTGCCTTCCGTGGTTGCAGCAGCAGCAGCAGCAGCAGCAGTAGCAGCAGCAGCAGCAGGAAGCGGGCGAGAGTCGGCGGCGGCGGTGCAGGATTCGCCGAAGCCACGCCCGCGCTCGCTCCTACGGCCGCTGCCCTTGGTGCTGATGGTTCTGCGCCTCTTTCGGAAGAGCAGCCGAACTCGTCGCCCGGCTCTCTTTCCCCGACGCCGCCCTCGACGAGGGAGCCGTCGCCGCCGCCGCTGTCCACTCGGGAAGGCTCGGCGGCGTCCTCTGCGACGGACGGCAAAAATTGCGGCGACGACTATTACGACAGTCGTCAAGACCTTGGGGACCGCGACGACGGCGGCGGCCGGGGGCGCAAGCGGAAGGAGAGGGAAGAGGAGACGGCCGCCGCGGCAGGGAGCGGAGTGGGTGGGGTCGCGGCTGGCAGCGTTTTGAGAGGCGCACGCGGTGCCGCCGCTGGCACTGAAGGCGCAGCCAACGACGGAAGAAGTGCGATGCTCGTGTCAGGCGATGGTGGTGCTTCAGGGTTTGTGTTGCGGGTGCCGGGCGAAGCAGCGGAAGACGGCGGAGACGCTCAAGCAGGCGTAGCCGTGGCGGCGGCGCGAGGGGGGTTGCGCGCGTGCTCGGCTGAAAAGCCACCGAAGCTGAAGCGGCAGCGGCAGCAGCAGCAGCAGCAGGCAAGCGAGGCACCACGAGCCGACGAGGTAGCAGGGATGCAGGAGCGTGGGCGGAAGAGCGGAGGAGTAGAGGAGGAAGAACACGAAGAGGAGGAAGAGGAGGAGGGGAAGGAGGAAGAGGAGGAGGAGGAGGAGGAGGAAGAGGATATGCCCGACACGGCGGAAACGGTGGAGGATAGCGTGATCCCGGAAGCGGCAGTGGGGCCGCGGTGCTGGGGATCACAGGATGGCGCAGATGAAGCGGGTGGGACCGATCCCGAAGCGGGCGTGATGGGCGGCGGTGGCAGTGCACGAGTAGGGCGGCGGGCTGGTGAGGCGGGGCGCGATAGTGCAGACCACGCACCCCGATAGCGTCACGCCTTCGCCTGCGCCCCCCTGCCTGAGGGAGGAAGGGTTGGAGGGACACAGACGGGCGGGGGCGAGGTGGAGTGTTATCTGGAGATTTTTCCTCCTCAAGTCGTTCCGTCCACCATTGTATCCTCATGCCCACGGTGGTCGTCCTACCCAATGTTTCGACTTTAACGCAGATGAATTCCTTGAAGCACCTCAATGGTTTCACGTATCCGTTATGTTGCCACAGAAGGCTTCGCGCTGATTTTCGAACAAACTTTTAACAACCATAGGGTCGAAAACTACTGCCATACTTGTGTCGTGTACGGGCGCCATCTCGCGCGTGTGCGTTTGTATGCGCAGGGTGGGCGCACCCTAGCCAAGCGTGAAATGGCGACCGCTGGGGACGCATATGCGTGAAAGTAGTGTTGGATTGGCATCATGGTGCCACATGTTCTTTGGCATCGGGGTGCTGGTGCTGAGAACAAGTGTTTGTACTCCTATTTGTATGGAAGAAATTGCTCTCCACTGCTGTAGACGCTGGGGGTGGTGGGGCTTGATGATGCTGATACTGTCCTTTTCGCTCGTACAAAAGATTGGACCCTGGATGACAAAATGTTAAATAAAAAGGGGACGGCGGACTTCAAATGGCACATGTGCAGTATGTGCCATCAAGGCCTGCCTCGAAAAGCAGTGTTCGCAATACGCATCGTGTGGGCCAATAACAAGATCAACAAATAAACGACAGACCGGTGGAATCCAACATACGTTACTATTAACTGGTACATTGGGACGACCTACACAAAATTTCTGCAAACGAGAAGGGCAACAGAATAGAAAACAGCTGCCAAGATTTTTCTGGAGTACGACACACCCCGACCCACACGAAAAAATACTCAAGCGCCAGAAGACTTTCTTCATATAGGCGCGTGACAATTTCCAACCGTCTTTGATGCTACGCAACAGACAAGTGCCTGGGACGGCGAGCGAGAGCGGGACGCAAAAAAAGGAAGCAAATGTTCGTGATGGGAGCTCATCACCGACCACGCGGAGCAACACTAGTGCGTAGTCAGCTTGAAGCAACGCTCTCACGATTCAGGCTCATTCCAAAAAAGGTGCCCCCGTGCCCCGACCTGCTCAACTCTTGGTCATAGCATATGACCTCGAAGACACATGCAAACATTGCGGACGGATGCGCTCTGCTGTAGTGTACCCAAATTCTCGTGGAACTCCCTCCTTTATGATGACGACTCTTCCTTCACGCATCGGCACGTGGGAGGTGTGCCTATTTAGCAAGCAGAAATAACTCATCAAGCGGGGGGACAACACCGAAGCCGCCCGGGCATCTCCGCGTGAAAAGAGAACAAAACAAGGACATTGCCCCCGAACAGCCCACTGCTTACGTACGTCGAAAACATCACCACGGACGCAGAGCACAAGAAATGAATGCGCGAACACAGTCGATCGAGACGGCTGCCGATTTCAAAGAAAACAAGAATGCCCCCGCCCGGATAAGTCAAACACCCTTCCCCCGACAAAAACACGCCTCCTTTCATTACTGCCCGAGCATTTTCCGGAAGGCGTTCTTCTCCTCGTCCGAACCCGCCTGGGCCTGCGCCATGAGCAGGGCTCGGTTGTCGTGGAGCGTGATAACGTGGCCCGTTTGGAGGTCCTGCACGCACAGGTACACCCATTCCCCCGACTCCATCTTGTTTGACACCTGCGGCCGACGACGGCGGCCGACAGAGAAATGAAAAAAAAAAAAATGAAAATCATGCGGGTGCTATTTATGCGCATGTCACGGCCGGGGTAAGCCGCTTCTTGCTTAGACCACCCTCTTACATGCGAGACCTGCAACAACGGTCCCCTTCGTGATGCATGTTCGTTCAACTCTTATCAAGCGGGCACGGCTGTGGTTGGCACGAATGGATCGTGACGCCTTGTTGTCTACATCCATGGCGCGCAACCGAGACCATCCTGCTGTGCATCGTGGCGCCATCGCCTAGATGGAGGATCCGCATGGATGCTCTGTACGCGCCCGAAAACGGCAGCACAACAGCCGCTCTCCCAACCGACTCCGATGACACTACTCTCGCCCTTCAACACACCACACACGCACACACACCCTATCGGTAGAACCCCTTGATGTGAGAGCGTGTTCCCGGCCGCTTCTATCCCGCTACGAGCATTGGTCGGCCTGAAATAAGCGCGGTCGATGCAAACAAACAAAAAAAGCACGCACCCCCCACACACACTGACGGTGGATAGTCAACTAAAAATAGGCACGCACAATACACGCACTCTGACGTCATTTCATAGGTCAGCTGTTAGCGCGGTCGATGCAAACTACTGAAAAATACGCGCGCGCGCACACACACACACACATTTGGAGTGCGTTCACCGTCATCCTCGTTCCTTCCAACTCTATCGTTCTCATGGTCGTTTTCACAGCAACTTCTCTCGACATTTCGCCTCTAGCCCTGCGTCGTTTGTGGTGGGGAAGAGCAAAACTATC